CAGCTTTAGACTCCCTATTTTGACCCACAATAAAGTCGAGTAGTCATAAAGAATAAGATTACCCATTCCATCCCATCCTCTTTCAGTATCTGCGACTGACCAATTTTGTTGTTAGCAAATCCGAACGTAGGCGCAACACGATTTATTTAAGGAAATTAGACAAAGACTTGAATAAATTCATTTCAGAAGAAAAAAACTACATAAGTACATATTGAATTTCAATCAAGTTGGTAAAAGTTTTAAAAGTGATCTATTTATTGATGGATTTTTAGATTAATAAAAGGTATTCAATAAATTCGCATATAAATATCATATGATATTTAATTATCTTCCTTGTAATTCGATTGGCATTAAATGTTCCCTTAAATTACTGTTTTTGATTATCATTTGGTTAGTTTAGGTTTCTGTGGCGGTCAGTCGAGTTGACCAATTCACTTTGATTCTATGGTTATAGTCTGATGCTAACACTTAATACAGACCTTAACTGTTTGGTGATATTGAAACAATTTTGGAGCCTTAATAATGCGCAAGGTGTTTTTAATTTTAGCGTTAAAAACTTCTATGAGAAAGCGAGCACGGGAAAGTTGTCGTAGAAGTGTTCTACTGTTTCTCTTTCTTCTCATTTCCAATGTTCCAATGCAATCATAAAGCTGAAGTCTTATGCCATAAACAATTTCAATGTACAATAACTATTCAATTAAAATAATTAGTAAAATACATCTATTAATGTAACGAATTCAGTTTCGTAGTCATAATTTGGTAACACGTTTTTAGTGACATACCTATGCCAAACAGAACCGTCAATTTTGATTGCTGATTAACTCTTTTTTGCGTCAAACTCATGATGTGAATGTGAAACACAATAGTGTCATCAAGACGGTGCCACAATTTACACTGTTGAGAGAGAAATTTCTCATACGTGTAATCTCATATTTTGATTATTGGAATTGAACATTAAAATCACGCGATCTGTTGTCTATGTCTTGAAAACGAACATCCATCAAATTATGTGGGAGCTATTTTCCGCATATAGCTGACTAGTCACAGAATATTTTCTCAAAATTATGTAAGACTGTAAGATGCCCCGTAAAGAACATTTGGATCAAATTATTAAACAAAAAATGCGGTATTTACAATTAGTTTCAGAACCACAACATTAACTCCTTACATACTATGTATTAGTACATAACTTGTCATTTGATATAACAGCACAACTGAGTCCACTGCAGACGATATCATCTGCCTTGGAATTAAGAATATATTTTCTTGAAAAACACATGGTAATAAATATTAAATATCTAATAATAAAATTGTTTTCTAAGTAATTTTGTTTTGGATTTAGTAAAACAACAAACAAACGATTAAACGCAATTTAAGGTTAATTTTAGATTACATTTTTAATAAAACATGAACCACTAATCTTCCCGGACAATCTTAGACAAAAGTGCAGTTTCCGTCAAATAATTTATGCATAATTTATTAAAAAATCTCATTTAAGCCCCAGAAGCTAATGACGTAAGATAAGAAATTTATATTTCTATCTTATCTGATAAACGCAGAGGAATTTAGTAAACACATTTTAAATATTTTGACAAATATGAGCTCCTAAACTGTTAAGAGGTTAATAAAATGCGCCCACGAGCATAAATTCACTGAATTGAACAAGTTGAAGACAAACGAAAGTGAATATTAACTTCCGTTTGAAAAAATTATTTTGATATTCACAAAATTTGGTAAAATGTATAAACACATCACGCCGGGAAGCACCGACAAGCAGCAGATACTCTTGCCTGTAGGCAACTAACATATATGTATTTGAATGTATGTATCTTCATATGTCGCGTGTTTTTGAATGAATCAATTTGACTAAATTTATGAATGAAGCCTACTAAAAACTTAAGTTGCGCTGAGAAAAATCAATGAAGTCCACCAACGTACAGCAGACATGAACCTAAACGCTCACAAAAGCTGCGTTTCGCTCAGTTAGCATCAATACAACTGAGTATCTTGATTGGCTAATATTTTGTTGTAGAAAATTAACGTTTAAACAAATTAAAAACGAAATATTACTTAAAGTGTAGATACTCGTACTTTAGCCAAACCAATGTTTCGCCTTAGGAACTTGGCGTTTTTTCGTGTTAATGCGCGTTATTCGTCCGTCCAATCTTCCGCTTGTATGGGCAGGAAGCAGAAAAATGCCTATATGGCTAAACACGTTTGTGCGGTTGTGTGCTTGTGTGTTTGTTACCCGTTCGGTTAAATTTATTTGAATTTTGACTCACCAAATTGGCGTATGTGGACACAGTGTCTGTCAAATCCACTCGCCAAGCTATAGAACACACCAAACCGAATTACTGAAAAGTGAGGTACGCGCAAATAAAGACACTGTATTTGAGAGAAAAACCAAAATGAGGCGATGTTGAACGTGGAAGATTTGGGTGCAGCATCGCGTCTATCTTGGTGTCGTAATCAAGTTCCCAACTGAAATTTGAATGCTTCTATCTCAAAGCGAATAATAGCAGAGGAACTGAAATTCATATTGTTTTTCTATTCATTGGAAATTCCTGTGAAAATTTAAATTCGAAGATTTTTGCGATACAAAGTGTGTATAAATAATTATTTTTCAATTTCGTACAAGTTTTTCGTACCGTGTAGGAGGGACAAGTTAGCCAAATCAATCCAAAACCGAACATAGTGTCGGAAATTGTGATTTCCCGATATGACTTTAAATAAGACAATCAGCGATGAGACAAATTGAATTTATTTGATTGAGTTTAGTTTCATGGCAAGTATTTCAATAAATTATTTAAGGTTATTTAACGATTTTTTTCCAAATATATTATTAATATTTGTAGCTGCTCTGTTCCACGCTTATGTTTCATTCAAAACTAAATAACATATTGTAGATTTGCAATGCAAGCAAGATAGTGAGTATCTGAAGTTTTGATTTAGATTTTTTGGTCATTTTATCTAAATGTAATGCTTAAATGGTAAAGAGAACCATTTTGTTCTATTCAGTTTTAAAATAAATCATTTATAGGGAATAGTTAGACATTTTATGATGGTTTGGTTTTAATATAGATCGGAATAATTATTAAAATAATTATTGTGATATTGAAATCTAATTAGATTAGATGATTAGATTTATAGATTATTAATAGATTTAGGAATGGTGACAAACGTTTACCTTGATTTTTCCAAACCAACTACATCAAGGCTATTTTGATTTAGTTGTTGCTTAGTGAACTAAGTTGAGAATGAGTTCTCATTTTATTTGTTGAAAACTTGAAAAAATTAAATACAAATTCGAGAAATTATTTATACTTATCGTCTAAATTCGCAAAAGTTTATATTTAATGTAAACATATAATGAATTTACATGTAGTAGATTGACATATCCAAATTTTACTCGTTTTAGTCAGAATGTTACAGCAGACCATTTTACAAGACACACGAAGTCCCCAGAAATCAGAATCTCCAAATAATCGTGAAACTATTAATTATCAGTAATGCGAAAGGTAAGAAAAGCTTAACCAAATTAAACAAATTAAGTTGTTGATAATTAATTTAGACTAAAATTTGGCACAGGGTATTCACATCTTTGCTTCAATTATTTTGAATTTTTAGAATACAAAAACACATTCAAATTAAAATTTCAATAAATGTATATTTGATATTTATTTATAGTTATACTTGAGCATACACACCTACATGCTTTTTAAAGACTTTAAAGCAATAACAAAACAGCATTAAAAACTGAAGAATGAAAAAAGAAAATGGTATAAATATTTTTAACGATAAAAATATTAAATATTGTAGTGCAATGTCATAGAAACCCATGCAGAGAAACCCACATATTTTTAATCCTTTTAATCCTTATCTTAGAAGTTGGAAAAACTCACAAAATGAAAATCAGTTATTTTCACCTTTATCTTTTTAATACACTACACAGCTCTGGCTTCCAAAAAAAAAACATGTTTTAGGGAAGAAATTTTTTGAGAGTTTGTTAACCTGTTCATCAGTAAGGACGAAAAATTTGTTTGATTACCTAAATTTAACGGAATGGAGCTAGTTTTAATCCTTTTAGAGGTCTTGAGAGGTGTTTGGTAGTAAAACGGCGAATAATAGTTGATATGAGCAATGGAAGGATCAGAGCAAATTCATCTAACACTTGCGTAGCCAGGATAACGCCAAAAGGGGAGTGAATATAAAGTAGATAATTTTTGAACTTCTCGTTATAAATATGAAATATTCTTTTAGATTAGAATATTTATTATATTATATAATTCTTATTGAAAGTTGTACTCCTAAATGCAATATTCTATTAAAACTAAAAAATAAACATAACAAATATTTTCGAATTTTATGACAAATAACCTTCTATGATTACATTTTTCTTCTGGCATTCACTATCTACAAATTTGCCATAAAAAATCAATCTGAAGACTAAAGAACTCTTTGACCCAATAGATCAAATAGAGCAATTGATTTACTCTATTGATAGAAAAAGAAACCATTAGAGTTACAAGCAAGAAAACTGCGTGACTGAAATATGTCAATGATTCTTGTATCGAAACAAACGATCGTTTTGCGTTCTGTTATCCATTTTCATCGATGTTCTTGTGTTTACAAATTGTGTTGTTTATTGTTCAAAGTAAATGCAATTGAAAAAACTGTTGATAAGATCGATGCAATCCAATGCAATTCGACTCATTTAATCGGAATTGCGTTTTGTGACAATTTTATAAAAAAGAAGAGCAAAACGACGTTCCACGTTGTTAGTCATGTGCCGGGCAAGCGGAGCCGGCAGCAATTTTTCGGATGAGCCAGCCCACACGCAACGCCTGAAACTGATGTACCGAGTTGTATACATTGTACCCAGTAATAAAAAATAAAAATAAAAATAATAATAAATAAAAAAATATATAAATAAAAAAAATATATAAATAAAAAAAATATATAAATAAAAAATACAAAACGAAAATTGAACTAAAACTCACTTTATGCGATTATCGACGTTTTACTGTACCTGCTAAATTTTTTTAATTTTAATTACAATTTTTTTTTTTTTGTGCATATAAAGTAAATTAAGTAAGGTCTTCTTTTTTTTTTTATTTTCAGATACTTAAACTGATATGTTTTAATTCACAAATTCTGGTTTGTTTTTTCTGATCTTCATTCATAAATTTTTTCTCAATGAAAAGTCGACGTCACTGCTGAGTTTGTTAACTCTTTCAGACATAATTTTAATTAAAAACAAACGAATTTCTTGGTTTTTGGTTTTCAATCATATAAATCATTTTTATTTTTTAAAATAATTTTGTTTTTGTGTTTTTAATTTTTAGATCTCGAAGTGTGAATTTTTACTCATAACTGCCAAATTAATTTTTCAAATTCGGAAGGCTGAACACACTTCACGTGCACTTTGCGTCTACAATATTTGTTTATATATATATTTTTGTTGTAATTTCTGCTCACTTCAAACACTTAAAAGTTAACGAGTTTAAACAAAAAGATAAATACTGACAAATATCCACTTAAATGAAATTGTCAATAAGTTAAGCAAATATCCGCATTACTTCAGATTTTGTTCGAATACAGATGTAAACACTACACTTCGCGTTTGTAAAATAATTTTTTCCTTCCACAAATCAAATCTCAACTCAGAGAACGTCCACACACGACAAGCACTTCGAGCCAACTAAAAACACAACACAATTCACAGCAAGAGTTTTTGTTTCCCTGGAACATAATTTTCATTCATTCAAGCAAATGTTTCGGATTGTTGCTTGGCAACATGTTGACATGAGCGTTGCTACCAACGCTTTGTTGCTAACGCTTTGCTGCAATGTTTATTGATAGTTATGGGAATAGTTATTGATAGTTTGAAATAATCAACATCAACATAATTATTTTGTATTGTATTTTATTGAAACATAAAATATTAGACTTTGTAATTAGATATTTACAATATCTCAATTAATAAGTTCAGTAAATGATCGTGACTAAATGATCTTGATCGTACTTTGATTTCTTAGTGCAGTTAGCTGGTACTTTTGACTGCGAGAATAGAATAAGGGAATTTACTCCGTAATTGATATGATATGAAATAAACTAAATAATGCAAATTATACAGAACATTTTCGTTGTTGTTATGGAAACAAAAATTGAAACTTTACTGAAAATTAGGTGAAATTATGAGGTACAGCTTGTCAGCATTTGTACATGTGTGACGTTTATTTGAAGCTCGAGGAAAAAACCTTTTCGATCACGACCTTATTCAGATACTTTATTTACCGATATTATAAAAGAGTTGCGTTTAATTTTTCACTGTTGAAAAACTGTTGTATGTTAGTAAATGGAGATCACAGGAAATCGTTAAATGGGATTTTATCCCATGGTGTTGAGGCAGTCATCTGTGTAGCAAATTTACTTGACGTAGGGGAGGGAAAAGAATAAGAATCGCGTATATAATATTAATATTAGCGTAATATTAGCGTAGTCAATGTTCCACAGTAGTACTACTGATAACGCTTCGATTGTTATTATTAGCACAAATAAACACAATTTAGTGGTAATTTTCAAAAAAAAAAATGATTAAATTTTTTCGATTTGGGCAATCAGTAAAAGTTTTGTAGTTTTTAAAGTGTATGTCGAAGTAAAATATAATGAGGCCATAAATTTGCCTAAAGTATGCATGTAGTCGAAAGCTATTCTATCTAGCTCTAATAATACTCTGTGATATATTAGTAATGGAGCTCGAGTTCTTGATCATTTTTTGAATTTAGAGAACGAAGTTAGTTATGACGAAAGAATTTATTTGATCACACCAAATAGGGACTTGCGGCTGACCAGTTTAACTTGATTAGTTCTAATAAGATGGTTATTTCTCATAAAAATTGATATATTTATATTCTACAGATAGTGTACGCAACAAAGCGAATATTGTCAATGAATTTTTGCTATAACTTGGTTAGAAAACCATAATACAAGTAGTGCCGTCATACTTCCTGAATATGGAGTTGGCATAAACTAATATCAATGTTTCCCCATTCACATATTTTTCATAAAAAGTGACAATAAAAAGTAATTAAGTGAACAAATAGTTTTAATTGCTAAGATAAGGCGATAAGATAAGTAAAAGCTTTGACGATCTTTTCTGTGTGACGATCAATAGTCAATTGTTGCTCATTAGCATCAACCAATTTTGAAGATAAAATACAGTAAGGGGCGCTAGTCAACTGTAGGTGTTGGCTGGGAGCATGCTATGAAGTATTGACTTATTGACTGAGTACTTAATTAGCTGTTAACCGCATTCGACATGCAACATTCGAACGAACTCCATTTCGAATGTGTGAGAAAATGCTACTCAAATCGGAATCAAAATCAGAGATCAGAACGCCAAGTCAGCAATTCAAGTGCACAAACTATTGAATGTGGGTCAAGCGAACGGGTTCACGGTGAACTTATGGGAGCTAAGCTGAGTTCACCAATTTCTTAAGTCAAGCAAATTAATTTTCACGAATTATAAAATAATTTATTTAATAAAATAAATAGTATAGTTTCTAGTATTCTTAACATTGGTAATTTTGGCATTAAACGATTGAAAACAAATTCTAAAAGTACAGTAAACTATCATGGCTATCTCTGTGCCAACATCTTCAGCACAAATTTTACTTTTGAATTATTAACAAACGAATGTTAAATTAAAACTATATATAAACAATATTAATTGATAAATAATTTAGGCATATCGGATGAAAAACAATATAGACACCGGCTAATGAAAACAATGCCACATGGCGATTTTCTCGTTGACCTGCGCCTGCGTCAGCAGTTGCATATGTTCGGAGCCGTTGACGACCGCTGCACCCACTAACACTGTTCCCAGCACCAACTTCTTGCCCATTTTCGTTTTGGTTGCCACTGTCGTGCGAATGTGCATATTTTCTAAATGCTCCATCTTTTGCAAAGGTACAATGATTGTGGCTGAGTCACCGCCTACATCCCATTTGGTCGAGAGGGATGGATAAAATGTACTACATTTCCAGGAATCCACATAAATGCCATGCTCAAAAACTGTTGTCTTCACATAAACGCTACCTGCAGTCGCTTCTAGCTCATCCTTGACTTTGTTGTTGCAACGCATGCGTGCGGTAGTTACTCGCAGTGTGAGATTGTTTTGTGGCTTGTTATTGTTGTTGATGCCAATCTTTCGTTTCACTTCTGTGCTCACGCGATTCCATTGAAGATTCTTATTGCTTCCACCATTTGTGGTTGTGGGTGATATTGCTCTGCTGGTATTTTCTTGCGTTTTTATGAGATCTTTTGACTTATTCGATACTTCCTTAGTGTTAGCCTGAGCCGCTTCAGCGTTCGTTGCATCTTCCATGCTGGCAGTGATATCTTTCAATTCTAGTATTAGTTCAACGACACCTTTGGGAGCATTCGCCAACTGGAAAGATCAAAAAGTCGATGTTAATGATATTATTATATTATTTACATTTTTTGAACTTACGTTATTATTAGCTCTTTTCACTACTGTTGTTGTTATATCCTTGATTGGCAACCATAGCTCTTCGGTTGTATACTGACCATTGCGTGGATTGCGTGTGAAAAGTTTTGGTTCCAGATAGCATGTAACAGATCCTTTAATAAAACTCCAGCTAATTATATGTACTTCTATTCTTATAACACTAGGGACCTACCTAAGTTTCGACGAGATTCACTAATTGTTAATGGTGGAATTGCATCCCTGGCTTGGGCACTACTGTGCTTCCGCTTCACTTTCTGACCCGCATTTCCATTAACATTTTCCGAACTTTCGCTATTTTCTTTATCGTCTTTAACACCTCCTGAACTTTCAACCATTTTTTGCACAAAAGTCGTGCTTTTGTCACGCAGGGAACGATAAGTTTTGTTAAAGCGATTAAAATTCTGCTAAAGATTTAGAATTATTTTCCAATTTGATTTACACTTATATAAATGTGCTATTTTTTAATTAAAAACTAATCACTTACCGCCGGTGGTAGTTCCAAAAGCGCATAAACTGTGAAAACCACAAATTGTCCACCGAAAAGCTCCTCTGGAGTAAATTCGCTTACGTATTTTGTTGAGCCGCCGCCACCATTAATGGACGAGTGCTTCAAAGATGATCTAAAAACAAATATTTTTAAATTAATTCATTATTATTACAAGAAAAATCTCAGATAAGGGGATAACCTATATTTCTTTCTATGACATAATTAAATATATAGATATTTCCAATAAACATTGTGATGTCAAATATTAAATATCCATAAAGATATATACGAGCACCTTTGCGAGTGATGATGGTAAATGGCACGAAAATACCTAAAATCGTTAATACAAGTATTTTAACACTTAAATCTTACTAGGATCCACTGAAGGCGTCTAGCCTCAGACATCAAAACAAAATAATTGGAGCTCTGAACTCGTGTGGGTTTGCTCAGACAAAACCCAAACTGTAACAACACCTTGAGTGATGTGACTAGAGCAACGATTTCCGTTGTTCTATCCTTGCATTGATTTTGCTAGGATCATTTCATACAATATTGAACATATCCACCATCTCCGTAGTTTCATCTATGTGCATCTACAATCAAGTATACTGATACTTGATGAAGAGACCATCTTCATAGTTTTATTTATTTATACACAAAAGCAAGTATACTGCTATGCATCATATTACCACTTACTTACTTGTATTCCGGTGATAATGGAAATTTAAAAGTCTCATTAAATTTTGGCCAAGAATTTGTCTGAATGCTACTGTCCAAGCGTTTAGTGCCGGGAAATAGCTTCACCTAAAAATAAAAAAACTTTTAACAAAAATAGCTTCTGATTGAAGATGATATATATTATTTGTAGAATTGAGTAAGGAGTTCTATCAAGAAAAACACTGTTTTAGCGATATATGTCAAACATAACTATCGTCCCAGTCGTTATATGTTTAACTTGAAGTCTGCCAATTTGTAATACAAGCCATACAATAAGTACTACTTACGCTACTTGGGTGCTGGAACAACAACGTTTTAGGCTCATTTTTCACTCTGTGAATATGTACACAAGGCAATTTTGTCGTATCTGAAGTATAAAAATTCACTAGTAACTATCGATAGATAGTTAGACCATTGTATCCACAAAAAGTCACTGCAGGGTGTGGTATACGCCTAATGAAGGCGTGATATGGGTAAGAAATTTTTCAGACGTGATTTGAAATTTTTTTGAAGTGGATCTATCTTTTGCGGCTACAGAAAAGGTAATGTTTGTGTGAAAAATTATCTAAATCTCGACGATTTAAAAACAAACATCCATCATTTATCAATTTTGTGTTTACTCTAGAAATCACAAGATGTGTAACCCAGTAAATATAAGCTTTCTTTTATTAAAGTAAATATAAGCTAAAATTTTAAATAGTCATTTTTCCAAAGATTTTTGAACGCAATTGATGAGTAAAAAGTGAAATTTTTGAAATATGTTATTCCATATTAGAAACAAGTAACCAAAATTATGCACTTATAATCAACTGTTAAAGTACCATTATAAATTGGGTAACCACCATACAAGTCATTCAGTAAAATAAAATTAACATTTACTTACACAGAGCTGAGCTGATTCTCTGGGGCTATTAAAGAAGTATGATAGATGTATGACGAAGTGTATTGTGGAAGTTCGTTTAAAAATAGGAACATATAATTAGTACATGAAATAAAAAATACAAACAGTGCGTTAAAGTCATTAAATTTTGACTGATCCTAGACGTTTCCGACCTATTTAAGTATTATCTATGAAATAGTTTTCAACCTGCTCTTATGTATTTAGATAAGTTAGATAAGTTAAACTGGCTGCCACTGAGTACCATATATAAGTTTTTGGATTATTAGCTATATCAGTTGAAGAAGGTGGTTTAAAGAAGGACTGCTGGGACTTACAGACGTGTTCAGTGCTTGAGTGAGTTTCTTTAACTTCAAATGCTAAGGAGTGGACTTCCCGTATAGGGGCTCTGTTATTAGTTCTTATATAAATCTTATAAGACCAACAAATTTTATATAGACGTTTTAAATACATTGTCTTTAGTGCTTCGAATGAAAGACCTTGCAATCCGAATTCTACAGTACGAATCAATAAACTAACAATGAATTTTGGTATTTCTATAAAATTTTGTAAATTTCTTGATTTGATATTCCAGTTTACTCTCATATAGAGGAATATATATTTTCTATGGCAGAATTACACTGTTTTTGAAATATATAATAAAAAAGATTTGCATTTTTTTAAATGGGTTCTTGTCTCCGACTTACTTTAATCACATATCCAAGAACAAGTTTAAAGCCAAATAATGCCGGTAGGTGGCGAGCCGCAAGTAAGTGCACATTCAGTATTGCTTTTGCATTGCCGTGTACTGTGTTATCGACACCATTTAATTGGCCGCTACTGTTACAGTAATTTCAAAATGGAAAGTCGCATGTGTTAAATGTTAATTAAAAAAAGAAAATATTATAAATGAAATATATTTTAACAAACTCTATGTAAATATTATTAAAATTAAACATGAAAATGAATTAATAAATACGTGCCCACCTGTCTTCATTTTGCTGCAAAACCGTTTCAATTGAAATTTGAAAGCCAACCTCAGGCTCTAAAGTCACCTAAAGAATTGATCAATAATTTTAATTTAATAATATTTACAAATAACGTGTGATATTAACATAAGAAGAAATGCACAAATTGGTTACATTTTATTATATTACCATAAATTACATCACATTTCAAAAGATAAGATTACTTTACTTTCATTGCAGCAATTTTAATTCTAGATAGTTTCGGTTTTTTATTCCTGAATAAAAATTCTAAATTAATTTGTATTGTCAGCAGATATGACAGAAAATCTCTTCTATTAAATTCCGTCAATTTTCAAGTAAAGTATTGTATATATTTATAACATACTGAACTTAATATTCTATAATATTAGATGGACGTCTTGTGATAATTTCATTACTTCTTATGGCTCTATTCAGGGATACATTTTCTTATATTCTAATTTTTCATTTTCTCAAGAATGTCATAGTGTCGAAAGGATTCGTTTCAACTTTAGTCTGGTCTTTGCTCTACTTTGTATAAATTGTCCCAAGTATGACACGTTCAATACCATTTGATAACCAGAGCAACAGAACCTAGCCGTCCGTAGCACTTTCTTGTTATCATCTTCAAACCTTAGTGAGACCTTAATGAAGTAAATGTAATAGTTTGATGTCACTCATTGAGCAGCATGGCATACCTTCCGCCATCCCTCGGTTTCTCTTAAATATTTCCTAATTGTCGTACTTATAAGAACTTACTTTAGTCTTGATAAAATCGACTCATCATAAATCTTTTAAGTATTCCGTTTAATTTAAATAATAATAAATAATTTCCAATATAAAAAATTGTCTTTAATACAAAAGTTGTGATATTTTACTGAAATAGATGACAGATCGTGCCATGTTCGGCACTAACGTGTATCATTATTATTATTATAATAGACGAGGAGACACTATCTCTCCTTTAAGCTATCATTGAAGAAGTTTTCTTAAGCTAAGATGATCAAATTAAAAAATGACATGTCTGTTCCAATGACATGTCCTTTAAGTTATAACATTTTTAGCTTTACTAGACGCTTTCTTTTCAATTCGTCAAAAGTCTCATGAATTACTGTCTATCATTACTCTACTGATTAAAGATGATTACTGATTACTGATGACTCAATATCGTTTTCCGTTATTATTATTTTTTAATTTTATATTTATTATTGGTAACATGAGTTATGTGTTTAGCGACAAGGGACATGATTAAACACTTGGGACTTGTACACCTGAGTTGCAGTATTTTTAATTATATATCAGAAGTGCGTTCCGCGCGTTTCCCTCAGGTCACGATGTAAGATATCATTCAATTCAAGGAATGAACAACAAATTGCTTAATAAGTTCAGTTCAGTGGTTTTTCTTTATTTGATCTTTATTAACTTATAATAACCATAACCAAGAATATAAACTCAAGAAGTTAACGAATCTGAATTAAATTATAAATTGAATATTCAGTCGTAAATGTAAATTGACTTCCATTTAAAAATACTTTCGCTGTAAAATATGGTATTTTGAAGTTATATTCTCTCTTCGTACTCACCGAATGTCGCTGATCTGCCGAAAGACTGCCATGTTGCGCCCTCGGCAGAAGTGATCGCAGCTTTTGCATCGAGAATGACATTTTGAGACGTCAGTGTATGTAAGTTGTTATTTTTGGGGAAGACCCTTGTAGATTAATAGAATTAAGATTAACTGAAATACAAATATTTAGAAGCAATTAAGATAAAAATGTGGAACAAACAAGAAGTAATTTTCATAAATTATACTTGTAGATAAAAAATAAAATAGTTGTAAATAAAAGCGGTTAAATATTAAAACTGCGCTGGGGCTAGGTACACGCAAAGTCATTTTAATTAAATTTATTAGCAAATCTTACTGGTTTGATTATCATAAGCAATATAAAACTTTGCTTTCTGTGTCATTTGTTTAATTTTCTAATTAACACAATTCAAAATTGTTTACATGGCAGCATCGCTTATCAGCGCAATAACAATGAAAATCGCAGAGATAACACACTCTATTAATATATTTTTAGATCCGCAAGCAAAGTTAAACGTAAGTATGTATCTACTCTCTATGCAATAGAGATACACTCAACTCTACGATAATTCGAAGAGGAGAGAAGAAATTCGTTATCGGTGCTTCATGCGCAATTTGAACTCTGAAACAAAAAGTTCAAGTCGCAACCAATCGATTGTTCACATTTCAATTAGAGGCAGTGGTTTCGCTGTAATTGTGGCTTTGGAATCGTAAAATAATCCGTAAACGTAGGTAATGAGTTGATTGAAAAGCTGCACACAAGACGCTTATAAGCACAGCAGCGTGAAACTGAGTTCCACTTCTTTAAGAGGTCATGCAATGACGGGGAGCCACAACGACGATTGTGGCTGGTGCATTGTCTGGTGCATCGTATCTTCGGCATGAGGATGAGTACGGGTAGACCTAATGTGGTGTTGCTTTGTTTGTTGTTGTCTGTGATATGAAATGAGGTTGCTCTAGTTAAGCTTGAAAACTTTTCAATTGATTGGAGTTGTGACAAAAGCATGAGCGGATTTTATATGAAAAGGCTTAAAAATACATTATAATAACATAGTAGGAATCTGTGATTTAATATCTAAAAATCACATTATAGAATTCTAAGAGCTGTAACTGAAATGTAATACTCAATTATACAATAACATTCAATCTAGTCTAGAAGCCTAAGAGCTTTATCACTTTTTATATAACGAATGAGAACTTTAAACTTTAATACTTTTTTTTTACTTCATTTTAAATTTGTTGTATAACATAGAAATTTACAACAATTATTTTATATATATATAAAGCTTACAGCCATGGCATTTTAGCCGTCTTTATAATTTTAATCAGTTTTTTGGTATAATTGTAAGCACTACCGAATTGATTTCAAACGATTTGTTCTACTTGCACAGAAGTTTTCTGGATAGAGTAACGCATTCAATAATTTATCTGAATATCTCACCGCATCTGAACTACGCACATTTCACGGCAGTTGCATTTCATGTTTTTTTTAATACGATCTTTTCGGTTTGCACTTTTGGCAGATTCTCTACTGTACTTTTATTCTTAGATTGTCACAATTCTTATTGCTTTCTTGCAGCTTTACGCCTCAATTGCACGCCACAAACTGTGTAATTTCTTCTTACAAATAAGTACTACGAATAGTAGACATTATCTACTACTAAATTACATGTAATTGATAAAATGTATACACACATTGCTATAACCCAAGCGCAGATATGCTTTCGGTATCTAGTATCTAGACACCAGCGCATACCGGATTGCTTCCATAAAGGCACTACGACTCACAAATGTAAACAATTCGTACAATTTTTTAATGATCAAAAAGTATTAATTTTTGTTAAAAGTTTGACGTGTATTGTTTAAAAATTTATATTTTTCATGAGTAGCAAAGTATACTCGTAATCGTAAGAGAACATTGTAGGCAATCAATTGCAGTTATATTGGTACACGTGATTTCGGTGGGGAGTTCGACCAAAGACTAGCAGTATAACACATACACCGAAGCAAACATAGATTTTAGTTTGATTACTTCTAAGTAAAGTTATAAGTTTATTTGAGATAGTAATTACTATAATTAATTAATTTTTTTCTTAATCAACGTAGTGATTGAAGTATCAGTTCATATTCATGTTTGTGCATTATTCTTCTTCTTTATTCTATAAGCACATACTCTCGCCTAGTGTCACAACAATTTCTTTGAATCATAATCAGAGCTTAATGAATGTAAATAATCATCAATTTTATATGAGACTACACCTTGTAAGCAACTGTCAAACTCAAACATAGACCGTAACGATCATAGGCCGCTATTTTATATTATAAGTATTTATAATTGCTTGTAAATAGAACTGACTTTGAATCGGGGCCTCCGAACCGAATATAGAATAACCACAATAAAGAATTATTTATATGGTATAATCAATGAGGCTCTTGATTCTAAATTCTATTTGTATCTGTGTTGCAATAACTCAAACCAACGACTAAATGTAGCTCGGTAAATGTACCCGCGTAACTAACAACAACGATTTCAGCCTAGAGATCAGCCAAAGAATTACCATTGTCGATAGGAGATGCCCTCCTATGTAAGCAATTGGGATGTAGCGCTCTGTAAGAAGGATGAAGTGGAAGTTTTCGAAAGAGAAATTCTTCATGAGATCTGTGATCTTCTATAAGTTGGCGACAATTACAGCATTCGAATAAACCACAAATTATAGGATCTTTATCACTTCGTAACACTATTCATCAAATTAGCTTCCAGCGTCTTCGCTGGCTGGTATAATCGTGAGAATAAATGACAAATCTTCAGTGGAAAAGTTGTAAGAAGCGACAGAGTTTAAAAAATACGCAGGAAAAAACCGTGTTTTCGATGGAATTTGCATGTGCACTAACCACTTGAAGGTACAGGAAGAGGGTGTTCCGTCAGGTCGAAGCTAATACCAAGTAAGTTATTCGGTTATTATTGCAATGACCTGGATCCATGATTGAGTCTGGCTTGAAGCTTTTTCTTGCAATAATAAAACAAGAAAAAATTGAAATGTTCAAGAGTAATTATAAAATAAGATTATTATTAAATGACTGAATGATTTGGAAAGAAGCATAAGAAATGAGGTCCAAGTGCAAAATAAATATAGTTGAAGTTCTTAGAAAGCAACACAATAAAGCTAATTTGGGATAATTAACCCAAATATGAATATAATGAATCCATTCTATTCTATCTACATTCGTTTATGTATGAACTCGTCATTCAAATATTGCTATAAAAATTTAATTTTTGTTTTTATTTGTACTCGTATTAAGTATAATTGTTTTGTGTAAATTTAAATATGTTAATTATATTAACAAATGCAGAAACATTGCACTTGTGTTCGTAATAAATGAATTCTTATGTGGGTCGAAAGCACTTGAGAAATGAAAAAATTAACAAAAAGCACTTTTTGTAGCACAAAAACCCACATTTCGTTTAGAACAAGTTTTTTACTAAATTAAAAACAATAAAATAAAATATAAATAATAATAAAAATAATAATCAAAATAGAAATAAAAAAAAATAAAGTGAAATTAAGTTACTTTTCAAGTGTTCTCATATTTTGTTTCTCATATTTCTTTTTGATTGCAATATATTATCTATACCCAGTAGCGAGGCGTCAGCTTTTTGGCAAGGTGTTCACAATATGATCAAAACTGAATTCCAACTATAACGTATTCCCCTTACTCCTGAGTTTTGTCCTTTCCACAAGCAAATAGCGTACAAGACCAACAAAACAATTTATTTAAATGTTCGCAGCCTGTGATCCACTGGTTTTTATGGTAAATAGCTGTAGGAAAACGAATTAAAACCTTTTTTCAGAAGATCGTTTAAAAAATGATATTTGAATCAAATCTTTAATCACACATTTATCCATTTCTAAATATTATTTTTCACTTCAAAATTCTTTAATTTTTTTCTTTACTTTTAACATTTGCTAGTATAAAATTGCAATAATGACTTTGTTTTTGGTTTATTTCCAACCTCTACATAAGAGTATCAAAATCCCATGCGTTCATTTACTCTTTTACTTTGTATTTACAATGCCCGGTTCAGTTTTTTTACTGAACCGTTTGCCCATATAAAACGGCAACCGTGACTTTGATTGTATTTGACGCTTTGTATGAACTTAGGGTTCAGTTTAGTCGATTGAACCTCTAGTCAAATGTAAAGCGATTTTCGCTCAGTCATTTCTTTTCTCTTTTGTATTTACTTTGCATAACATTGGAGGTTCACTTTTTTTATTGAACTGCTTGCACACATTAATTTAAGAGTTAACATATGATTATTTTACGTACATATTTTGCGGGGCTTGTTTTCTCTTTTATTTTTATATTTGTTTGTATGTTTTGTGTTTATTCAATACTGAACATAGTCCCAATGTGAATGTTATTTCATTTGCATTCTTTGTAAATATCGCGGTGCAGTTTTTATTCTGAACCTTAGTATATTTTAAGAGGAATGTATTTTATCTTTTATTAATTATAATGTTGGGTGTAACTAACATATGTATGTGTGGTTTTGTTTGTATTATACGTTTTGTGTTTATGTTTATATGTTTGGAAAAGCTATTATAAAAAATTTTAAGTAGCAAAATAGCGAGATTATTTACCTAATAAAAAAAGATCTAAAAAGGAAGCTTTGTTAAGGTGTTCAGTGAACACTCTGAACCATTCGACGCCTCGCCTCTGTCTATACCCTTTACAATAGTCCAAAGGAGTATATTAAGTTACCCATGAAGTTTGGTAGACCTGGCAGCACGAACGATGCTTCAGATGGCTATTAAACGTAGATCCCTAGTTCGATACGAAATGAAAATTATGGATATAAGTTCGAACAGAATTGTCAAATTTAAATTTAACAAACCTAATATTTGATCCAGTTTAAACAAGGTTAGTAAAAGTAACTGAAAAGTAAACAAGAAGTAGTAGTTGCTAATAATAATTTCAACTGTATAAAGGGCATTAAACCTGCGGTGAAGCTAAAATTAAAAGTTAACTATAAAAACAATTTAACTACACTTAACTACATTTTTTGCAAACTTTTATGTCTAATATTTAGGTATACGTCACAAGGTTATGACGAATTAAAATAATCTATTTTCTTTTCAACATTTTTTATCTGT